ACCAAAGCGCCAGCTTTGAGCAGGCTTGAAGCGATCTCCGCAGAAGCCAGCTTCGCCGCTTGGTGAAGAGGTGTGAATCCGTTCTTTCCGGCCACGTTAACTTTGGCACCATGGGTAAGGAGAAAATTGGCAACCTGGGGGTAATAAGTTCACAAGACAGCAAGTTAGTGCATACAAGAGAAATTAGCAGATGCGTAAAACTTCCTTGAAAGCGGTAGAATCTGACGAAAAATCGAGAATACGGGACTGCATTCTCGACGAGTGTTCACAGAAAGTAGTTACACGGGCAATTTTGTCAACCGGTGCACGCACAAAGGAGATGAGCGACAAAATCGCACCGACCCAAATCTTTGGCAAGCAATTCCGTATCTCAAAATGCCTCGGAGGCCGTCAACAGCCTTCTCGCACTACTTGGAGTTGTAGTCGCACACAGGTCGGAGGCGACTATTTGACATCGGGCAAAGAAACCAAAGGACTTTTAGTGAATCACTCACGCGCCAACGCTCACTGCTGCTGATGTCGGCATCTGGGACCGCCAATTACAGGTGTGTCTGCCTGACCGGTCTGACCAATCACCTTCCAAGGTTAACTCGGACAAATATCGCTCCCTGTGGCCGCTGGGATGACTTTGGGCAGGCCCGCATTTCGGATTCTGTCCCGCTTGGCTGCAGACCTATGCTCGTCCGATAGTCAACTTCCTCCAGCCTAATCTCCACTTCCTTCTTTATAGAATAACCTGTTCCTACCACTATGGCCTCCCACGTCCTGTCTTCTCTTAAGGAACCGGGCCTGAAAATCGCAGCTGTTAGGATTTAGCCCATAACTTCAACCCCTGCGATTGACTCATTGTCACGGCAAGAAACATCTGAATTCGTTTATGAGATCTGGTGCAGTTGCGGACAAAGCAACTACTTTGGAGAAACTGGAATACTGCTCCGGACGGCAGCATTTCAGCGAGATAAGGCCAATTCTTACGTTGCGGCTCATTCATCGAGATCCGGCCACACATTTAAGTTCGATGAGATCGAAACTTTCGCAAGAGGTGACAATCGCGTAGGCCGCTAGTTGTTTGAGCCGTGGTTTACGGGTTCCCAATCTACTAGCAGGTGCAGTTACCTCGCAAACCTATTTTCGGTGCTGAGACTTGGTTTGGACAAAACAATAAGCCGATTGAGGAGCACACAAGCGAAAACACGTTTCGATACCAATGCCGGTGAGCCGGGTGGTTGAGCCATCATCACACCAACCCTCCAACACGAGTGATGAAAGTTCGGCAGATGACGACCGCATTCCGATCACCAAACCATTAGCGCATCAGAGAACATTCATCATCGATCAAGGGGAAGCCGTTACTTGTCATAGTTATACAGTCGCCCAGCGATTGCACCCTGCAAATACTGCAACTTCTTGTATACGAATTGCCCTTATCAGATGCTGTTTCTGAAGATGGGTTCGAGATGGACTCCGAAACGTCAGACTGATAAAGTTCTTGTCTTACCGATTGCGTGTACTTCTCAATGCAGGACTGTGTTAATGTAAAATTAAGAGATCCCAGGCGGATACTTCTAGCAGCATGATTTTCCCATCCTCAACTGATGAGGCTGTCGGACCCAAATGTCGCTAAAATGACAACGCAGATGCCCCCAGAAGCCTCATTAGAAACCGCCAAATCAGTATTTAGGTCTAAACCTATCCGTAGTACTGACTTTACTCGTTTCGGTTTATCAACCTGACCCTTCTCCAGCAACTTTTACCGAAACGCCGTGGGTGCACTCTGTGGTTCTGCAGTCACTGGCTAATCTCCACGCGCCTGACACTTAGTCAGTGTTTACATCAAGCGTTTCACGGCCATTCAGCGGCTGATGGTGAACGACCAATGACGAATTATCGATATTTGCATCGTAGAGTGACAGGTTCCGCGTTTTCGCGCAAACAACAAAGGCCTCCTACGAGGGATCACACTGTCTTACCGTTTGCCTAAATCTAATCGGGGTCAAATAGGGAAAATTTATTAAATTCTTTAAGGGTAACCTCTTTAAAAGAAAACGGCTTACGTCGGAAAATCCGTAGAAAGCGGCCACGTGGAGCGGAGTGAGACCGTTTCGTGCGGTCGCATCAATATTGGCACGTCCTTCGGTGATGAGTAATTGCATGACTTCTAGTTTGTCGTACTTTGCAGCAATATGCATGGCTGTATAACCCCTCTACAAAAGAGTTAAAAAAACATTGACGCCGTCGGTGCAATACTGTGCAAGTAAGCTGCCTTGAGTTGCACGCAACTGCATTACCTCTCTCATTTGCAAGTTAGAAATTGACCTTAAGTAGACAAAAGGAGCTTACCTTTGTTGTGGCTTCAACCTGTGCTCCATTCTGTAGCAATATTCGGATTATTTCCAGGTCTCCCTCCCGGACAGCTAGGTGTAGAGGGCGATACTTCCCTCGGGCCTCAGCATTCACGTCAGCACCGGCCTCCAGAAGGCACTGGACAATTTCTAAGTCATTGGCCCGGATGGCCACGTGCAGTGCAGTTTGATGGTCCTGAAAAACAAACAAAAAAATACAATTTTATGCGTTATGCTCGGTTGTACGGGGGAGAGGACTACAGTGTGCTGATGGGAAAGGGCATGGAACATGAAAGAGCACATACCCGCACTCGTGCGTCAACCAACGCAGAATTCTTGAGCAGCACGCGAATAGTCTCCGGGTGGCGTCCTCGCACAGCCAAATAGAGGGGCGTTTCACCATGCGTGGTGATCTGGTTGGGGTTAGCTCCTCGTTGAAGCAGCAGCACGGCAGCGTCGGCACAGCCAACAAACGCCGCCACATGGAGGGGTGTGAAACCGGCCTTTTGAATGAAAAGATGCATAAAAGAACTACTCGTCAGAGCCCAACAAAAACGGCATTTTTCGTGTTAGCAGGAAATGAACTGGCAGCATCGTACCTGGGTGGTAGCCTCGACTGCCGCGCCGTGTTTGAG